GCGTTCCTTATCATAGGTCTCACTTAGTTTCTGAATAGAAGCATAGTGAAGATGCTCATTAACCTTATCCAAAGTGGTAAGGTCTCTTAAGGTCACAGAACTTAGGAGTGATACCATAACGTATACAACAGTTTGATCGTGTTTGATAGTCTCTCATTTCAATTTAGAATATCGCAGTATATTGTAAAGGTAACTTTATCATTTTATGTAAAGGTGATATTCACCCTATTTCGTCTAAAGTGATCGAGGACTGCCAGTTGAATTTTCCCACAATCAGATGGATCGAACTGAAGTCTTCACTGAATTTCACTTGGCCCTGTTTTGCGAAAAGTAGTCTCCTCCCGGCTGGAGTAACCTGCAGTTTCGACCTTGTCCAGGTTTCATCAGCCCCTCAACACCCCGGTTGGACTCGAACCTGGGTTGTTGCGATGCAGTGTGTTGTGTTGACACGGTATCCGTGCGCCAGACTGCCACGAGTCAACAATTGTGAAACAAAAGATTGCCCGAGACCCAACTTTTCTTCGCATAAAAGCCAAACTTGTCCAAATGTTGATTTGTCGCAGCCGCCACTGGCCAGGCTCTTGTCGGCCATCCCTTCTCCACTCAGTCCAGCATCAACTTGCCAGATTCGAACTCGGAGCTGAATGCCGTCGGCGACGAGCGCAAACCGTCCGAGGCCAGTCTGCCGGATACAGACGCTCTCGCCCAACTGCCGCCGATAGCCGCGGCGCGCCTCCTTCGTCCGGCGCGTCTCGTGCCCGCATTCGCCGACTTCCTTTTCAGCTACGCCACCGTCTCCGGCTATCGCGCCCAACGGGACGCCCGCAACGGCTCGGTGTACGTCCAGTCGCTGTGCCGACGCCTGGAGCGCGACGGGCGCCGACGCAGCCTGCTCGACCTGGTCACGCTGGTGCACCGAGACGTCAGCGAGCTGGTCTTCCGCGAGACCGTCCACACGGGCCCCGGAGCCATGGATGTCGCCGCGGGCGCCCTCTTCCTACAGATGCCCGAGGTTCGGCACACGCTCACGCGACGTATCCAATTCGTGTAGGCCGAGCGGACAGCAGACCGAACGGAAATGCTGTCGGTCGGTTGGGAGAAGCGATCGCCGGCCTCCGAGAGTCCAGCAAGAGCGGGCTTTGGTCGAGGTTTGGCCGAAAAGTGACCGGCTCAAGTGCTCCACTGTACCAAAACACAATAAACGATGTCGCTCTGCCCATCAACTCATCTCACACCGTCGTGTGTGTCTCTTCTTCGCGCTCTTTGGCCTCTCGTTCACATGCCCTCGGCGATTGCCCACGGCGCGACAAACTGACCA